TTGGTTAGAGTGGTTAGTCTCTGACTACCCAAAGATTACTAGCCTCTTTCTTTCTTTCTTTCTTTCTTTCTTTCTTTCTTTCTTTCTTTCTTTCTTTCTTTCTTTCTTTCTTTCTTTCTTTTCCGGTGTTGAAGGTTTGTTTCCCCGCTCTAAAGATAGTACTCCCTATCAATGACTACAATGGTTTTCAGCTTTTTAATGTGCTATCTATTATGAATAATGCATTGGGGGGGGGGACCTTGGGGTGGCTGCCCAACAGTATTACCAGAGAGAAAAATCCCTTTTTATCAATTTAAGAAAAAAAGTATATTTGTTGTTTCCCCGTAGCTGCAATGAGCTGCCTCGGCATTTTGCTTGTGTGAAGCAGTTTTCTTTGGGTAGGGAAATCATCCTTTATTGTTCTCGCTCGGATTTAGCAGCATTTGGTATGCTGCAGGTTGGATTTTCCTCCTCTTTTGCCTTTTTTTTTTATCAAGAAGAGAAAGAAGGGAGGGATCAATATTGTATTGTCCTTGCTAATCTTGTTTCTTTGCAGAACAGTTACCTGGTTGACGTGTTAGCTAATAGCGTGGAGGTGATTGCAGAGAAGTGTAATTAAAACGGGCAATGTTGCAGACCTGCACAGGCAGACCCAGAGGAATAATGTAAATTACCTTGGTTTTTCTAGGGAGTTAGCTTCTGTGGGAGGAAAGTTTTCTCATTTGTTGGATGATGGGTAAGGAAGCAGACAGGGGTGATCTCCAGCCATTCAGTCTCTGGGTGGCAGAGAAGGAGAGGATGGCAGCCACAAGAGATTCTGCCAAACTTTGCAGCCGATTCTTCTAGGGCTCCTTAGGATGAGACCCCCATGTGTGGCAAATGGGGGAGATGTGCCGAAATCCCTTGCTAGTCTCAGTGCAACTTTTTGCAAGGCAAACCCTGATAAAATGAATGTGGTTTCTCCTGGCTTAAGCCTGGGCTGAAACCCGGGCTGATTGAAGTCACCCAAGTCCCCTGGCCTGTACTACGATCAGGCTTGTTTTAACATGGGTAAGACGGACAAGGACAATTTGTAGTCCGTCTCAAATCCCACATACTCTGGGTTTAATTTTGTGTCACTGTCAGCCAAGGATTTAGCCTTTGGTTAAAATGGAAGCAGGTATGCAAAATGTGGGTGGGGAATGGGCAGGCAAGCAGAAACGGTAACCCTTCCTGCTTCCCCTCCCCATTTTTCCCTATCCCTGGAATTCAGTAAAATCTGATGAATGGATCCAAAACTTTGGTGCGAGAGTCTTCTCCCTTCACTTAAGTTCCAGGAACACCTCCTCTACTAATTGAGAGGCTGTCCCATTTGCCTGCCTGACGAGTAGCTCTAGGAATTCGTAAGAAGCTTCAAAATCTTCTGTATGAAATTTGAGATCCATTGAGAGAGGATTTGGATCATTCTGCCAAGTGAACAAAGAGATTGTTTACAAACAGCTGTCATTCTAGGGCTGCTCCTTCTTTTCATTCACCTCCCTGTCCATCTGTCTCAAGAGTCAATTCTTTACATAAAGGGCGGGGGGGGGGAATGGGGAGTCTTGGAATGTTGCATTGCTGAGAGGACATGCCACGCCTCCTTTTTTTTCATCCCTTTCAGAAGAGGGAAATTCTTCAGAAAATATCATTTCATTAAAAAAAAGACTTTCCAAATGGGGCAGTAATTCAATAATACAGTGCTGGTGTGTGTGTGTGTGTGTGTGTGTGTGTGTGTGTGTGTGTTGTGTTTATGTTTTAATAATAAAACGGCTTTATCTGAAGGTATCATTTTGCTGGTAGGAAGAATCAGAAAGATGAGATCTCGGGAGATTTTTCTTTATGTCACTAGAGATAAAATCAATCACAATATTGTAACAGGGATGTTTTAAAATATGGAGGGGGGGAATTAAAAGTATGCACTCTGGGAATCCATATTGCTAATGCTTGAAGCTGTTTTCTCTAGACATGTAATGATCCACCCTTCTCTCCCACCCCCCCATGGGATTTTTTTCTGAATCCAATCCTTGAAAACGCTGTATAATATTATCCAGCTGGTTGCTGTTATTGGATGAAATCTACTTGTTGACAGCTTTCCAGGATGACAGACCCCCTCTTTGCCCTTGAAGTCCCCAGCGGCTACTAACATGGTCTGGCAGTTGTGTTTCTTTTCTCCTTCCACCTTCCTAGTTTTTGTTTCCAAGAGTCCCTTAAACACTAATTATTTCTTGATCAATAATAGATTAGCTGTTATTCTGTGAGCAATGTGGAGCTTCCTCTCGTGGCCACCCTTTCCCTCGGTAGGTTGAATTAAATTTAAAAAATACACCTTAGCAAACCTTTGCTTTCTCAATCAGTTATGCTATGGGGATAACAACTCCAGACAGACATCATGATGTTAATGTTATATTCTGCATTGGTCAGGTCCCACCCTGAGTATCGTGCTGAGAGAATGACAAGGAGTATGATCAAGGGATCAGAATCTAAGTCCTAAGTATGAAGAGAGAAACTGAAGGACCTAGAAATACTTAGACTTAAGAAGGAAAGATCAAGTAGGGGCGTAGGAGCCCTCTTCAAAGACCCGAGGACAACGAATATCAGAATCCCTTCTCTGTCATCCTATAAGGTTAGGCATGGAATTCAAGCTGCAAGAAGGCAGATTGCAGTTGAGGTTCCTAACAGGAAGAGCAATTTGATTGTGGAATTAATTGCTCAGAGAGGTGGTGAACTTCCCTTCACTGGGATGAATGTCTACGGAGATTCTCCACCATCCAGGTCATGGTTGTCCCAAATGTGCTTTTCAACAAGACAACTGGACTTTCTTATGGTTTTTTTCCCTTGAAAACATTTCGCTTCTCATTCAAGAAGCTTCTTCAGTTCTTGATGACTTCACTGGAGACTTCAATGTTTTAACGTGGTTCCCAGCACTGAGTAGGGAGTTGGCTTCAGTCACCTAAATGACCACTACTGTCTATGATATCCAAGCCTGTTGGTAGGCTTAAAGAGTAAGGAAGATGACTGTGACAGAAAAGTTCAGGCACAAGGGACTGGAACATTTTTAAACTCCACAACACCCGAGTAAAAATAGAAGTGGTTCAGGCACTCCCCAATTCACTGAACCCATGAGGTACAGAAAAATCAAACTTGTAAGATTTTATTAGCCAGTCTCAAGGAAAGTAGTTTTTGCTTTCCTGTGGAGTTGATTTCATAGTCTGGTTTACCTGGTGAGATTGATAGTAGGAGTGATTTTCCTGAGCATTTTTCAAGCTTGGTCACAATATTACATTGCATCATGAGTATGATGGGAATATGATGGGAGTTGTCATCTAAATAAAACTGAATGCATCTGCTTGTGAAAAACAAATGGACTTAGCTTTTCATAAATACAAAAAAAAAAGTCATTGTAGGAGGAAAGTTGTGCAAACTTGCAGTGGCAAAAAATCAGGAGTTTGGTAGCACATTTGCCAACTGACCATTTTCATTAAAAGGCATAAGCTTTCATGAGCTGCAGCTCACTATCACTTGCTCCACATTCAAAGATCCACATCCATGCTTAATCATCATATAAAAATAGAGGAAAAATTAATGTTGCCTACTAAGTGGAATGAAGATACCTTAGTCACTATGACAAATAGGGGAGCTCTGTAACTGCTATGGAAATGATCAACTTAGTCATTTTCAGATGACAAGTGGTAATGCTATATGCTACAACTGCGTATGTAGAATGAGTAAGGGCAACCAACCATTTTGCCAGGTGAATCAGATAAACACTGATAATATTACTTCAGTCATATGATAAGAATCAGTAGAGAAGGATGTATCTATTGGTTGTTACTAATGGAAAGATCATAAGGCAAGTCAAAAGAAAAAGTTACGTGGAAAATGGAAGTTCTCATAGAAGTCATGGTCCCTCAATTCTCTTTACTACTCTGAATCTGCTGCTGTAATTTATTTGGAGTAGTCTTCTACCACTTGGTAGAAGCGTGTGAATAAAGAGTTACGTTCATCTCCATCATAAAATCAGTTATAAAAAAAGCACCCTTAACTACAAATGAATATTGTAGTCTTCAACATTCTACGGATGCCTTCCAGGTGTTTGAACTTAAAAAAGTAGTGTTTATTGGTTGGCAATTTTGGAAAGCACCAGCCTAGAGAAAGATGGAATACTGTAGCTGTTATTTCATAGGATGCTTGAAATGGTGAAGATACTGTATATAAAAATTGTATATGTTGCATTTATGCTCATGTTATTAACACTGGAAATGCCATTGAAACAGAAGCAGTCTTCTAGACTTGCAAGTACCATGAAGGAAGAAGACGAATACACGTCCACTCTTTTTCTCAAGGACACCATTTTTTGGGAAGACTTTTTCCCATTTATTTATGAGATACTGTACCTTTTATATGAAATGAAATCACAAAATTGATTTCACTTGGCCTTCGATTGATTGTATGCAGGATTTTTTTAGAACATAAACCAGTGCCAGTTGAGAAGCAAAATATCTAATGATTTCCATCTTCATGGCATGGACAAAATCTTCCTGTAGATATTTTTGAATATGTTATATAGTTATTTTTTCACATTTTTTTTTCATTCTAAGAGTTATCCTGGAAATCCTACATAGTTCTAACGAGCCAATGCAATTTGCCAGATAACCAAATGATGCTGTTGCATTCGGCTGCCTTTCTTTGAGTTCCAGATAAATAAATGTGACCAGAGCCAAAATCACTGCTGCCATTCCAGAAAAATAGCAATAGCAGTTAGACTTATATACCGCTTCATAGGGCTTTCAGCCCTCTCTAAGCGGTTTACAGAGTCAGCATATTGCCCCCAACAACAATCCGGGTCCTCATTTTACCCACCTCGGAAGGATGGAAGGCTGAGTGAACCTTGAGTCGGTGAGATTTGAACCGCTGAACTGCAGATAGCAGTCAGCTGAAGTGGCCTGCAGTACTGCACTCTAACCACTGCGCCACCTCGGTTCTTGCCACACAAATAGAATTGTGTGGCATTTCCATTTGGAATGAAAGCACCAAAGTACTGAAACTAAGGAAAAAGTAGGATTGAACCATGGACTATAATAAGACATTGCATCATTTTGGGGCAAAAAACGGAGTATTTCAAGAAGACTGCTGCCCACTATTAAAGATATGTCTAGATTTTTATAGGCAACAGAAATTAGCTTGGAAGGAGGTTATCTTCTCATCAAGCTCAATAGTCTACCTCTTGCTCATATAACATATACAGTATCATGCAACCGTCATTCAAATCTTATGTTTTAGTTAGGTATACAGTTCATACATTTACCCTTTTAATCTTTTTTTCTACTTAGCTTGATAGAGCTTTTGTGACTACAGCATAGGACAGGGTATCAAAATATCAAGCAAGATCTTTTTTAGCCTTAAGAGTAAAAAGTCCGCTATCATAAAGACTAGCACATTTATTATTATTGTGGATTTTTTCCTGGATCGTTTTATCAAATTCCTAAGACTAATTGTAGACCTGGAGATTGGTTTCAGTTTACATATAGCACAGTCATTAGAGATTTGGCTGCAGTTTTTCAGTTAAAATGGCTGGCACTCAAATATGTAAAAC